CCATAGCTGAAAGAACCACTCGTGATTGGTATGCCAAGTTCTAAAATGGAAATTTTGACCTCAAAGATGAAGCCTCGTTCTGACCATCCAGTTGTGTTCGATGAAGAGCGATTAAACCAACTTTTGCACGAAAATTCTGATCAAATGACAAGTAAACTGACAGAGAAAATGGAATTTTCCGACACTGCTATAGAAAAATATCTTCACTCGATGGGAAAGGTTCAGAAGTGTGGCACATGGGTACCGCATGCTTTAAGTGACGACAACAAAGATCAACGAGGCACAATCTCCGCTGGTTTGCTTGCTCGTCACCGCTCATGGACACAAGCAACGATTTCTTTCATCAATATGAAACAGCGCAAGGAATGGCTTAGCCCCGGTAAACAAGCGACACCGCGCGTGAAACAAGATCTACACCCGCGTAAAACGATGTTGTGCGTATGGTGGGACTGGGAAGGAATTATCCATTACGAATTGCTTGGACGGAACCAAACTCCATGTTCAACAGATTGAACGACTCAACACGGCTATTCAAGAGAAGAGACCTTATCGGCAGCATGGAGTTCTTTTGCTACACGACAACGCCAGCCCTCATATCGCCAATATGACCAATGAAGACATTTCAACGCATGGCAGAGAAGTGCTGCCACACCCACCGTACTCTCCCGAGTTGGTACCAACGGATTTCTACCTCTTTCGATGTTTTTTAAATGCTATACGTGGAGTTTCGTTCAATACTGATGCAGAATTGAGGTAATTTTGAATTGACTTCTACCAAATACGTATTGAAAATCTTGTTGAACGTTGCAAAGAAGTTGTAAACAACAAGGAGAATACATTATTTTATATATATATATATATATATCAATCAAACGTCGAATTCGACGGGAGAGTCGAGTATATATATATATATATATATATATATATATATATATATATATATATACGTTTGATATCAAGCATATATTCGAGGTTTGACCGACAGCCACAACAGCATCAGTTTGATTAAACCGACAAGATTTCAACAGGACCATCCAGATTTTAAATATATATATATATATATATATATATATATATATATATCCATATTTTATATATATATATATATATATATATATATATATATATATATATATATATATATATATATATATATGATTACCAAGGCGTTTTATCAGTTTGCATAATATTGTTTAACGTTTCTTTAATTTTCCTTTCTGCTCCTCTTAAATTTAGCATTGTGGTAGTAAAATAATGATATTAATATTAATAATAATAATAATAACTGGAGGCATATGTGTGTAAGTTGATATAATACTCAGTCACACATACGTGTAGAGTGCAGTGCTAAAATAAAAGAATTTGAATGATTTAATGAAAAGAGAGAGAGGGGGAAGGGAGCGAGAGAAAGTGAGGAATTGAGAGAGAGAGAGATAAATGGAGAAAAAGTGGTGGAGAAATATAGAGAATGAAAGAGAAAAATAGAAGAATGTGATTGATTCTTTAAAGAAAGAAAGAGTTACAGAAAGATAATGAAAGAGAAAAAAAGGAGAGAAGGAATGATTTCTGGAAGTGATAAAGAAAGACAATGATTTGGTTTGCTTTACGGCTTATCAACCTCAATGGATTTTTTAATGCCGACAAAATTTTTATTGCTGCTAAATTTTTTTTTTTTTTTTCAAAAATCTATTTCTGTTAATATTTTTTCTTCAAAACCGTATAGCTGGAAATTTTGCTTTTTTCCAGAAATGTATTGCGGGTAATTTTCTTTCAGAAATGTATTTCTGGTAATAATATTGCTGGTAATTATATTGCTGGTAATAATATATTGCTGGTAATATAATTTGTGATATATTTATATTTTATAATCTAATGGTTTTGTAAATGATTTCACAAAACCACACTGACCAAGAAATCATCCCTGAATATATATATATATATATATATATATATATATATATATATATATATATATATATATATATATATATTTGAACAATAAAAAAAATATTAAAAAATTAAAATGATTAGACACACTGGGTTGTAGATTAATATTCTTTCGTTTTTTTTTATTATTTCATTTAGATTCCTCGACTAGTTTCGTCCAAAATGGCCATCATCGGGAGGAGAAATATTTCTGCTTGCTGGTAGCAGTAAACAGGAAATATATATATATATATATATATATATATATATATATATATATATATATATATATATATTTTATTTTTTTATTTTATTTTTTTCTTTGTTCCTTATTTTCGAGCTTCTTTTAACCACCTCGCTTTCTGCACTTAACGGTGGTGATGTTCCCTTTTCTTAGTAACAATCGACGAAAATGGAGAACAAACAAAGGAAAGACAATATTTGCTGTCTGTGAATGCATAAGGTCGTCGCCGAAACGAAGAAACTTGTCAAAAGAAGGGAGGCAGCACTTAAGACAATCAACGATCGGTGCACAGGTGGCAAAGAGTCCCTGGGCAAATGATCGAGTGTTTGCTGAATAGGGTAATGCTAGCCCTTTAGGTGCTCGCACTAGGGTACTGGGAAAGAGAGGCGAGGGATCATCAGGGTAGACTCCCGTTCCTTTGCTTTGTAATTTTTTCCTCTCTCTCTCTCTCTCTCTCTCTCTCTTTTTTTCTCGCCCTTCTTAAAGTCGTTCCCGCTGCCACACTCTTCTCAGTCTTTCCTCTGTTCACTTTCACCCCATTCTCTCCCTTTCTCCACCTCTCTCTCTCTCTCTCTCTCTCTCTCTCTCTCTCTTTCTACGCTCTCCCTTCCTCTCTATCTATTTCTCTCTCTATTCTTTCTCTCTTTTTGGATTCATTCTCTTCTTCTTTTCATTCTCTTCCTTGTCTTCCTCTCTCCCTCTCTCACTTTGCAAGCTCATGCTTTCTCTTCTCTCTCTGTATCACATGCTAAACACACGCTTCTTCTTTCCCTTTCTTTACGACTTTCTCTCATTCTCTCTCTCTCTCTCCCAGGGGATAATGCCCCCCACCAAATCTCTTATTTCTCTCCCCCCTCTCATTCTCTTATTCTCCCTCTTAATTTAGTTACTCTGTCTATTTTTCTTATTTCTCTCTACTCCTGAATTCACTCTCTTAGATTTAGTCACATCTCCTTATTCGGGGTATATATATATATATATATATATATATATATATATATATATATATATATATATATATATATAAGTGAACTTTGATGTCAGCACTTATAGGCAACAGGCTGTTTCATACTAGACGGGGTCGTCAGGACAAGAGTCTGGACTTTTCAGTTATTTGTTTGGATAAGTCTTGTTCTTATGTACATCGTCTTTGTCATGTTGTATTGATAATGTTATCATTTATGAATATGTCCTGAAGATGGTTTATTAGACCGAAACGTCTGACGTTGACATATTAGCATTAAAACAGTATAAATTGTATTTAAGGATTTTTGTTTGTTTTTTCCGTATATATTTTCTTCATACTGTCGGATCTATATCCATATATTTGCTTACACACACACACAAACATATATATATATATATATATATATATATATATATATATATATATATATATATATATAAATAATAACCATATGATTATTCTATAAGAATAAATACCAACAAGCAGATATAATTATTTATTTAAAAGAGTGCATAAATATGTTATAAAATCACTACAAAAATAGCCATTTTGTTTCAACACCTCCGGTGTCTTATCATGTGATGACGTTGAATGTAAAATAAATTGTTTTAAAAGTTTCAAATTAATTAACGATCATTCGCAAGGGGAAAACTCTGTTACAAAAGTTAGAATGACCTATCAAAACACAAGTATAGGAAAATTCAGAAAACTTGACAGCGAAATAAAGTTATAATAGCTGTTAAGGGTATAACCCCAATTTGAAAGCTCTTAATAGCAATTATAACCTTACTTCGTTATCAAGCTTTTTGAATTTTCCTATACTTGTGTTTTGATTAGTCATTTTAACTTTTGTAACAGAGTTTTCCCCTTGCGAAAATTCGTTAATTAATTTGAAACTTTCAAAACCATTTATTTTACATTCAACATCATCACTTCATAAGACACCGGAGGTGTTGAAACAAAATGGCTATTTTTGTAGTGATTTTATAACATATTTATGTTATAATTTTTAAATAAATAATTTCATATATATATATATATATATATAAAATTATTTATCCACTTGCAAAAAAAGACTAAAAATAATGGAAGCTCTAATAATAAAAAAGAAAAAGCCAACTCTTAACAATATTAACTATGAACAAAGCCACAATGTGCTAACCGTATTCGAAACTAAAAACAACATCACTACCACACACTGAACATACACAGAACACACACACTCTACTAAGCTGATAATTGAATCATCCTTGATAATGGCTAAAGGTATAGCCGAAAAGCGCTCGGAAATACAGAACATTCGGACAGTTCTTACACACTTTTGTCCAGAAAAGAAAGCTCTTGTCAGAACAGAAGAAAAAATTAAATAAAAAGCTCAACCGTAGTACCTTGTCTGTCGTTTTAATGAAACATGCATATATATATATATATATATATATATATATATATATATATATATATATACAGTGTAACCCGGATATAAGAGAGTTGTCGGGACCGGAGAAGAAGTCTCTTATATACGGGTTTCTCTTATATCCGGGTTTGGTCTATTTTGTTTAAGTAAGTATGGGCTCTAATTTGGGACCAGAGAAAATCTCTCTTATATCCCGGTTTCTCTTATATCCGGGTCTCTTATATCCGGGTTACACTTGTATATATATATATATATATATATATATATATATATATATATATCCTTCCTTCTCTGAGATTTTTTTTTTCTATCCATTTTCAGTCTCTCTATCACTCTCCCTAATTCAGGATCTTCTCTCTTTACTTTATTTACCTTTGTCTCTTATTACCCTTCCTGAAATCTCTCTCTCTTTTTCTCTCTTTCTTCATGGATTCATTCACACTCTCAGTTCTTATTTGTCTTTCTACACTTCTTTCTCTTTTGCTCTTTATCTCTGTCTTTCCATCTTTCAGGGCCTAGACACACTTTCCTTTTTTTTCTATTCTCTCTTGTTCGACTCTCCTTTGTCTTTCATGCGCGTCCTGGGTAAGACATCCGACAGCAAGGCATCTGATCAGGAGGTTTTGAGGAGCGCGGAACCACCTCTTAATTGCTGGTGTTCCCAAGTCCAACATTACCTGGGGTGGTAGCACCTGTTAGGGTCCCAGCTATGGACAAATAGTTACCGACCAAACTGGGGTCAAAACACTATGGAAGAGTTACAAAAGGGTTTTAATACCAGAAATGCTTTGTAAAAAAATTATTACCAGTAGTAAATTTTTGAAGAAAAAATTATTACCAGAAATACATTTCTGAAAGAAAATTACCAGCAATACATTTTTGGAAAAAAAAACAAAATTACCAGCAATACAGTTTTGAAAAAAAAAAAAAAAAAATACTAGCAATACGTTTTTGAAGAAAAAATATTAACAGAAATAGATTTTTGAAAAAAAAAAAAATATTAGCAGCAATAAAAATTTTGTCGGCATTAAAAAATCCATTGAGGTTGATAAGCCGTAAAGCAAACCAAATCATTGTCTTTCTTTATCACTTCCAGAAATCATTCCTTCTCTCCTTTTTTTCTCTTTCATTATCTTTCTCTAATCCCTCTCTTTCTTTAAAGAATCAATCACATTCTTCTATTTTTCTCTTTCATTCTCTATATTTCTCCACCAATTTTTCTCCATTTATCTCTCTCTCTCTCAATTCCTCTCTTTCTCTCTCTCCCTCCCCCTCCCTCTCTCTCTTTCTTCATTGAATCATTCAAACTCTTTTATTTTAGCACCCATCTCGTTTTTCTATCCTCTTTTTCTCTTGCCATAGTCATTCACTCGAATTTCTCTTTCGTTCTTGCCATTCTTTCTTCTTTCTACATATTTTTGCTTTGCATGTTTTGCACTTGACATTTTTGTCGTGTTTTATACAGAAAATATTTTGTATTCTCTTTTCTCTTTCACTTGCTCCGTTTATATCCCGGTTCACTGCTGATCAGGACGACAAAGCCGGTGTCAACCTGAAAACGAGCAGGATCACAGCTTGACATTAAAGGTTCATCAGGTGCTCCCGGTGTTGACACACACCCGCTATTTTACTTATTGTTTACTTTATCATATTTGTATTCTATCTATCTATCTATCTATCTATCTATCTATCTATCTATCTATCTATCTCAACATGTTCATTATATAACTCTCTGTCTCTCTGTATTTTTTTCTTTCTATCTATCTCAACATGTTCATTATATAGCTATCTGTCTCTCTTTATTTCTTTTTCTTTCTTTCTTTCTTTCTATCTATCTCTCTATCTATCTATCTCAACATGTTCATTATATAGCTATCTGTCTCTGCTTTTCTTTTTCTTTCTATCTATCTATCTATCTATCTATCTATCTATCTATCTATCTCAACGTTCATTATATAGCTATCTGTCTCTCTACTTTTCTTTTTTTCTATCTTCTATCTATCTATCTATCTATCTATCTATCTATCTATCTACACACACACACACACACATATATATATATATATATATATATATATATATTCTTTTTTTTTCTTTTTTTTAGAAATCATTTCACCCCTAGCAAGACGATGACGCCACTAAGATGCAAAGAGCTACTGTAAATGAAATAGAATGAAAAGATCTTAGGACAATCCGGAAACTCAATTCTAAACAGGAAACAAGTTGAAAAGACATGGGAGGAGAGTGATTCTATCTATCTATCTATCTATCTATCTATCTATCTATCTATCTATCTATCTATCTATCTATCTATCTATATACAGCGGTAGAAATAAGTATAAGAAGTATCAGAAAACACCACGGTTTCCCATTTCTCCTTTGTCCATGTTACTTTTTTCATTACCCAATCTACGCGCATCTTGTGTTTAGCAGTTAAAGCAGGGACTGGCTTCCTGTTTCCATACACGAGTTTTGACAATTCACAGAGAAGTTGACGAACTCTTTTTGGAGTGATGGGTAAATTCTGTAATTTTTGACGACCTCTTGAGTTTGATCATCCTTTAGAAGCTTCTCGAAAAAGTCAACATCTGGCTGCATTTGTAATTTTAGGTGGACGACCTGGACATTTTCTGGTGCCATAGGATTCAGTGCCCTTTAGATAATTTCTCACAACTGATCAGGATCTCGACAGTTCTCTTGCAATGAAACCTATAGATTTTTCTTCCAGTTTATAGGCAGAAATTTGCCCTTTTTTCATTTTCATTAAGTGGGGAGTTCCTAGGCATTTTGCAGTAACTGTATTCAATTATGAATTGTTTAAATTCAAATGATAAGAGTCTTAATAGGACTTCTTCTTCCTTTGCAACCCCCACAAAACACACACCCTCGAAAGCACAGTTTTGTTAATCCTTTTTTGGTGGAAATTGATGCTAATAATATGTATACTATCCTCAATCTAATTAAAAAAATTTCAGAGGAGTAATAAGAAAATTATTAACAATTTCATTGGTAATATTATTTCCACCATCGTATATATTTGATTATTATAATAATAATTTTTAAATAAATTTAATTCTATAAACGATTTATTTGTTTTTTTTAAAAAAAATAGTCTATTAATTAATTAAAAAAAAGAAAATAATTTTTAAACACCGTTATCAATGTTCAATATCTATCTATTTACAGAATATTTCTAATCCCGCAAAATTGAACTGTGAATAATAAGTCGACTTTTCTCTCTCTTTCTCTCTCTCTCTCTCTCTCTATAATATATATATATTATATATATATATATATATAATTTAACGGAAAAACGTCAACCCTGTTACTGAAAAAAGGAGTTTTCTCGTTGATAAAAAAACAAAAAACACAGAAAACGACAATACTTTTCTTTATGAATCGGATATCATCTATCTGCTAGTTTATAAAAATATATCCCCATTTACCTACCCTACCTACCTAAAAGAGTCAGAAATATATCTTTGTCTTACTTTCTAAAGTGCTAAGTATAAAATTGATAGTCAATTTTGCAGTTAAGATAAAAATGAAAACGTTAAACTATTCCCAAAGATTATTTTGGGCATCTCGCGTCGATGTCCGCATTATAGGAAACAAAAATGATAGATTGGTTTGTTTCAAAGACCTTTAAATTACACCATAATCGATTTGTCTTAAAAGTTATTGGGTTGGCGATCCCAGCGTTCACTTTGAACTAAATTAGAGTGAAATAGAATACCAACGAATTCTGCTTTTAATTTAAACGAGTCAGGCCTTGTAATTAACACACCAGACAATCCAGAAACTGTAAGTTTTAGCCACGAAATTTTGAAAGCACACACATCCTGATAATGATGCTAATAATAATGATCCTGTAATTAAAAAAAAAAATGGGAGCTGGTAATAACCATATTTTGAAATCTAATAATATTTTTAAATAATTTATTTTATATATTTGTTTTATATATATATATATTCTAAAAATAATTTTTAAAATTGATTTAAAAACGTATTCTAATCCAAACACGACTTTTATAAAGAATTTATACAAGTACGAATTTAACGGAAAAATGCCGAAAACCTTTTTGTCGTTGATAAAAACAAAAAAACAGACGACATGCATTGATATATATATATATATATATATATATATATATATATATAAAATAACACGTTATAAATGATTGGATTTCTCTGTATCCTTGGAAACAAAAATGATGAATTAATTTTAAAAACTCAGAAATTTAAAAATATTATTCCAAAATTCACTGGAAGAGGAAACAATTAATCAATTAATTTATTAAATTTGAATTTTTAGCTTCGAATTTTGAAACATAAATTTACATTGAGCACTATTTTGTAAAAATAAATATATATATATATATATATATATATATATATCTTTAATTGTTTAAAATATTCTTTTTTTTTATATTTGGATATATATATATATATGGAAAAGAACGAAGAATAAGATTTTAGCGTTCAAAACATTAAGTTAAGGCAGAGCTCACTACAAAAGTAGAGCAATAGATATTTATTTATTATACACTGTTACATGGGAACATGTACATACCCACTACAAAACTGTACATCTTGTTTCAACGTTTAAAAAATTAACGTTTCTTCAGGTGGGAAATCACGATGCTACTCTACAGTATACCCGAGTAACATCGCGATTTCCCACCTGAAGAAACGTTAATTTTTTCAACGTTGAAACAAAATGTACAGTTTTGTAGTGGGTATGTACATGTTCTCATGTAACAGTGCACAATATAAATAAATATATGTGCCTGTGTGCTTGCGTGTGTGTGTGCAGAGCAGAGAGAGAGAGAGAGAGAGAGAGAGAATGTGTGTGTCGGGGATTGACAGATTTTCCAAAGTGTAATAGAGCGAAAATAAAATAGAATATATATATTGATAGGCAACTAGGAAAAATGTAGAGACGGAGAGATAGGTATTAGGAAAGGTCAATTGATATATATATATATATATATATATATATATATATATATATATATATATATATATTCGCTTGAGGATGAAACGGGACTAAACACCTCAATTCAACTTAATTTTAATAATTATTGGGATGGTTTCGGCTCTCGTTTTTGAAACATGAGAACTCTTATGTAGCAGAAGGAATCATATTTTTAAACAAAAATATTATTATAATAAAGCTCTACTTCGGTATGGAGCACTGTCTTCTTAAAAATAAAAACAAAATACTAAGGAACCCCGGATTATGCACCCAACGTGTTCTTTTCTATTTTCTGCATACCTGCGCACTTATACATATATATATATATATATATATATATATATATATATATATATATATATATATATATATAGTTATGAAAAAACTAGGTAATCTCCAGAGAGCTCAATGTAAATCCAGAACAAATAATTTAAATAAAAACAGACCCCTTTAAGGTTCCATGTAATAAATTATTTCACCACAAAGGACTGCGGATCATCAGACTTTACTTCCAAAAGTTGAAACGAAAAGTCTGATGATCCGCAGTCCTTTAAAAGGGCTGTGGTGAAATAATTTATTACATGGAACCTTAAAGTGGTCTGTTTTTATATTTATATATATATATATATATATATATATATATATATATATATATATATTTGGCCCCCCAAAAAAAAAAAAGGATACACTCTGGTCAAACCTTGTCGACACTAAGTCTGCCTATCTCTTTGGGTTTACTATCTATCTATCTATCTATCTATCTATCTATCTATCTCTCTCTCTCTCTCTCTATATATATATATATATATATATATATATATATATATATAAAATATAAAAAAAAAATAAAAAGAGCTGATTATTCATCACATCAGACAACATTCTTTCTCCTCTTCAACTTCTCGTTCGTCTCCATTTTTATCCCATTTTGTTTACAATTCTATGACATTACTGAGGTTTCGTCTATGTTATTTAGCTTCCTGTCAGGAAACATATGCAGTGAACATGCGAACAATAGTCGCCTTTCATGAGTTCACTATTCGATCTCAAAATATCCCCTTATCTCGGCAGACAATTGCAAGAATCTACGTTCTGTTTCTGACAAGGGAAGGCTGGGGGAATCTGCCGCCACCCCTTCATTTGCACGGCCTTTTACCGATCTGAACGGGTTTTCAGTAAAGAGCTCAAAGCAAATATGGAAGGGACTGAAACTGGCCGAATTTTCGTTTTGTTAAATAACCACAAACAAGTATCATATATATATATATATATATATATATATATTAGTGTGAGCTGGTTCTCTGTTCTTGCCAGAGCACACACGTTATTCCATCTGAAGGTGTTGGAGTCGCTGTTTATCAGGTTCAGGCGACCCGCTCTTTGTAAACAAAGAGACTGTTTGCTTCGGCTTGCGGTGCCATGTCTCTAGCATCTTTGCTGTTATAACTTTTATTATTATATTTTTTCCATGTTCATTCATTCACGTCAACCACGACAGACTTTTTTCTCATAATTTGTTTCCCCATTTACAGTTCTGACGAGAGGGGACGAAACCGGTCCACTTGTGTTCGTGTTTTTGTTTTAAAATTTATCATGGTCTATAGTAAAAAATTCTTGCCTTTAATTGCATAATAAGTTTTTGTACTGTTAAAAAATATTTTTAATATATATATATATATATATATATATATATATATATATATATAAATATATAAACAAAATCTTTTTAATATATATTTATATATATATATATATATATATATATATATATATATATATATATATATATATAAAAAAAAGAGGTTGTAGTGGTTCCAACGAGAGTATATTGAAAAGAAGAGAAGAGAGGTGCCGCAAACGTTTTTGGTTGTGATGTGGATTTATTTAGAAAAAATATTATGCTTTGTTTTACATAATTTTACTACGACACGTGTTTCTGGTCTCGCGACCGTCTTCAGGTGAAAGCGGAGATTTCCACATATTATTAAAAATAATTAATTTTTTCCTTACGTTTTTCAGTCTTAAATATGTGACATTTTTGTTTTTGTGTTAGTAATCCGAATTTCTTTCTTGAATTTCTTTATATATATATATATATATATATATATATATATATATATATATATATATATATATGTATATATATATATATATATAAAGAAATGTAGATTTAAGACGTGCTATGTTTATGGGATAAAATGCTCAATATCAGAGATAGAGTCTCTCTCTCTCTCTCTCTCTCTCTCTCTCTCTCTACATATATATATATATATATATATATATATATATATATATATATATATATATGTATGTATGTGTGTGTGTATATACTGATTCCCTGTAACTTGGGAAGTATATGTATGCACGTATGTGTGTATGTGTGTGCGTGTATGTACTGATTTCTTGTAATGGAACGGTATGTGTGTGTGTATGTGTGTGTATGTGTGTGTGTGTGTGTGTGTGTGTGTGTGTGTGTACAAATGAGTTCACTGATTCCTCGTAGTGAGGCAATGTGTATGTATGGAGTTGGGATATACACGTATATGCACGCATGCTGACAGAAACACACGAAAATGGAAATAGATCTAAGAACACACAGGGGTCATTAAAAGATTAGAATGCCGACAACTACTCCATTTCTCCTGTCTAATCTTAATTGTTTTATAACCCGTCACGCATAACCCTTCACTGCCAGTTCAAGAAAGACATTTTGTCGCTAAAACAGAAAAAGAGAATGTCCCATATCGGGAATATTTAACATCGAAAAACATAAAGGAAAAATTTTTTAATAATATGTGGAAATCTCCACCTTTTGCCTGATGACGGTCTTGAAAGACAGAAGGAAAACATTTTATGTTTCCGCGATCATCCCATGCTTTAAATGAAAATTTTTATCATTTCCTACCCAAAATTTACCAGAACGATTGAATTTGAGTTTCTATGGACAAACGGAAGATATTGTGCCACACGTCGGCATGCGGGCTACAACCAGCCCGCCCGCCCAGTCAATTGTGATTTTTCTTTATTTTCTACTTAAACATATTCAGAAAGCCATTACCAGAGTATATGGGCCTCCAGGAGTCATGCGTTTCAATCGCGTCTTTAATTTCTCTCCGCCGTTAAAAGATGTCACGTTTGTTTAAAAAATTCTGAAATTGCAAAATATCAAGCTCTTTTTGCAAGTGCTGAAAAAAACTCAGCTTCGAAAATAATTCAGATAAGGTGCGCGTAAAAAAAAGTCAAAGACGAGATTCCAGTGATTTTTATGAGCACTGTACAAGATGGGAGGAAGATTTTCACCAAATGACAAAATAATCCTGTTTCATCCATTCAAATTGGGATATTTACTTGAAAGTATATTATGGCCATTACTATGGGAAGAATTTGGCGCAATAATTTCTTAACCTAGTCTGTACTATTTTAGTCTGAACATATCTGAATAAGCTTCATATATCTGTATCTATAAATGCCATTCTGTTAGTGTGTCTGTGTGTTTGTCAACTTGTTACCTCATCCTGAGCAAACCGTTCGTCCGATTGGCATGAAAATTCACACACAGATCGGAAATTTATGGCATTCGTACTTGACGTCTTCGGATTTTTCGATTGTTCCCCCGATTTTGAAAAAAATCGATAAAACCGATAGGGGGTCGAATGTTGATTCGAAAAAAAACTTATCAGGTTTCAGTGATAGTTTTCATAAATTCCAAATGATATCCACCAAACTCATGTTGAGCAATAATGTCCTTACTTATAGTTTTGAGGTGCTGTTCTTTGTTTTTAAAAATTGATATCACTTATCGGAAAAAATCGATCATTTTGGGACATCCGATTCAAATCCAATGTAGCTGATTTTTGGCTCTGTTTTTCGCAAACGGCAAGGAATTTTCACGAAAATCATGTTGAGCATTAGTTTTATCAATAGGTATTAGTTGCTGACCTTTTTCTTCAATATCGGTATCAATTATCGGAAAAAATCGATAACATCATGTCACTTTTGACTTCCAATTCAAATCCAGTCAAGCTGATTTTTGCCTAAATATTTTTCGCAAATGGAGAAGAATTTCCACCAAAATTACGTTGAGCATTGATTTTATCAACAGTTATGAGGTTCTGATATTCATTTTCAATGTCGATATCAATTACTGGAAAAAAATCGATACAGTCGATCACATTGGGACATTCGATTTAAGTCCAGTCTAGCTGATTTTTGGCTATATTTTTCGCAAATGGCGAATAATTTTCAGCCAAATTCCCGTTGAGCATAGTATTTACTGACAATATTGAGGTGCTGACTTTTGTTTTCAATATCTGTTTCAATTATCGGATAAAAATCGATGAAATCATATCCCCTTTGACTTCCCATTCAAATCGAGTTTACCTGAATTTGGCGATGTTTTTCGCAACTTGCTTGGGATTTTGATTAACTTTATCAGCTTTAGTCTTGACAATTAAAAACTTTTGCCTTGTGAGCTCCTTTGTGACCAATTAATACCTGAGGGAATTTGATGCAATCATGTCTTCATCGGAATTTGCGAATACACCAATCAAACGTATGTTCAACTGAGACGTCTACACTACAGACTCTACAGCTGATTGTTATTCACACACGCGTGACCATGCTTCACATAGCGGCATCTCATTGGCTGAGTGCAGTACGCGGTCGCTGATTGGTGCTCGAGACCCTAGGACGCTCGCTTATTGGCACAACCGATTGGCCAGTAATACTTCGCATTTGAACCTGCTATGCACAGCTGTGAGTCAAAGGTCTCACTTCTACTCCTGTTACGCCGCTAATTCGGTTGATACGATAGGCTCCTTCAACTGATCATTTCTCTTACCGCAAGTTGTTTCTTACGTTTTTGTTTTCCGTTTGTTTGTTTAACTACATGATTCCAGCTACCATAAACAATTTATTCAGCTGTTTTACTTAAATACCTGCCTCCCCGATTCTGGCACATGCTTTGCGATACTAAATTAGACTTTGTACTCCTGCAATTGAGCAACACTAATCAACCACTACTAGCATCACTTTTCCCCATGCCGCCAAAAAGGAGGGTACGTTTTAGCTTTCGGTCTGCAAAAGCGTCCGCTATGAGGGCAAGAAGGGCCCGCGAGTCCCAGGAGCAGACTACAATGCGACTATCACAGGTCGCGCAACGCAGCGCCCTCACGCAGGCCTCACAGTCACAAGAGAAGCGTGCCACCTGCTTGGCTGGGAAAGCTGCCTACAGGGCTTCGTTGCGATCAAGGCTCAAGAATGCACAACGGTCGAGAATGAACGCCCAGGCTGCAGCAATCGCTTCTGCATCTCGGGCTTCCGAGGCTCATCATCAAAGGCTTCTTCGTAACGTAAGAAACGCTGCTGCCACTGCGAAATCAAGGACAGTAGAGACACTTGACGGCAGACGCGCCCGTCAATCCAGGGACGCTGCTGCAACAGCGAGCGCTAGGGCTGCTGAGACATCGCTCCGTAGATCTGTGCGAAATGCTAAGAATTCTGCCACCACTGCCAGGTCGAGGGCAGCTTAAACATTCGACCGCAGGCGCGTACGTCAATCCATGGACGCTGCTGCAACAGCGAACGCTAGGGCTGCTGAGACACCGCTACGTAGGTCTGTTCGAAATGCTAGGAATGCTGCCACCACTGCCAGGTCGAAGGCAGCAACAGCTAGGTCGAGAGAGTCCGAGACAGAGCTGCAGCGGGCAACCCGCAATGCCCGAAACGCTGCAGCGACTTCTGCTGCCAGAAACCCCGAAGGCCCATAGACAAGAGCTAACGGACTTTCAAGGGCTGCTACAAACATGGCCGCCGTGCGCTTATCTCAAACTCCCCAAGCTCGCTGCATGCGTTTCTACGGCGACATTCAGCGCCTTGCGGCCGCCAGTGGTATTACCTGTCCCAGTAGCTCTTTTTGGTCTTTCTTGGCTTTCAATTACGACCCCGGCATTAACTTAACTGCGCGTGACATCAGTGTAGGGTCCATGACCTGTGTTTGCCAATTCTGCAACGCCCACAAATGGGCAAGGAAGACTGCCGGTTTGTGCTGCTCCTCCGGCAAAGTTCGACTGCCACCTCTGCATGAACCACCTATCCCGTCGAGGGGACTTATTTGGGGCTCAGGTGGTTCGAGAAGAGGGTTGGATGCCCAATTATAAAGTACAGGGGCAAGTACACCACCGCATTGGGTCTCTGCTGCCTGAGGAAACCTCTACGCCTAAATTCCTTCAACTGCACTTTATTGCAGACTACAACCTACAGGCCGAAAACTGGATTGGTATTTTGCCGCCGTTGGGAAGAGTTCCTCGCAGGGACGTCATACTACTACTTCAGGCCATGTTTCACGAGGTTAAGAGCCACATTCGCAGTTTCAAATATGCTTTGGAAAATGCTGCCTTTCCTTCCTTCAGCATTGTAATTGACGCCGACAAACGGCCTCATGATGAACACGAACGCCGCTACAATGCTCCTGCGTACAACGAAGTGGCCGCTGGGGAGCAAGACCGCATTCGCAATAGTGTCCTCAAATCAAGAGGCGGCGCTCTTTGCAGGATTTCAGAGACCCATCGATCATATGACGCATTGCTGTACCCTTTACTTTTCTCTTATGGTGACAATGGCTACCACTTCGGCATTCCTCTTCATACTCCGGGTGGCCAACCTATAACGTCTTCCAAAGCCTTATAGTGCAAGGCCTTCTACACATACCGTTTCATGGTTAGGGATGGAGACTTCAACCTGCTTTATAGATGCAGGGAGCTTTTCCACCAGTTTGCGGTTGACATGGCCGCTAAGATGGAATCGGAGAGGCTTTGTTTTATACGGTATCATCAGAAACAGCTGCGCTCAGATTCCTACGTACACTTACGCGACAGCATTCGAAATGAAGTCAATCCCCGCGACCTAGGGAAGCTGTGCATTCTGCCCTCTACCTATACCGGAGAGGGCGTTATATGCATGAACGCACGCAGGACGCTGTGACATACGTTAGGCAATATGGGCGGCCAGATATATTTATTACGTTTACCTGCAACCCCAAATGGGTTGAGATAACGCGTGAACTCCTACCCAGGCAGGGCTCTTACAGTCACAGACATGACATTATCGCTTAAAACTGGGAAAACTTATGGACTTAATAGTGAAGAGGCGAGTCCTACAGTGATAACGCAACCACTATTTTTAAAAAATTGACCGATTATGAACGGGTGACAGTCTTCGTGTAAGCAAGGAGCAGCAACATAGCAATCACCTATTGCCACCGGTTGCCCTTGATCTCATTGATTTTGCTACCAGTGAGATTCCCGGCCTATCACTGACCTCAACATCTGCGGATACATGCGTAAGTTCAATAATTCAAACCCCAAAGCAATTTAACTACACAAAACCCCGAGCAACGACGGGCTTTACTGCTAGTTAAGAATATATAAGGTCATTGACCAATGGCCTCGGTTTCATTTCTTATGGAGCCTTCTGGGGATGAACGCCTTTTTGTTTCATTAAGTGACAGTGAAATATTTCAAAGAAATAAAAGTGCTTCTTAGAAACAAGTTGTTTTAGAACAAACTTGGTGAATAGAAAGTAAAGTAACAAAAACCTACATCAAAATACAGCCCATATTTGGACAACTCTCTTCGAGACAAAGAACTGAACAAGACCAGAATGAATTTGTGGAACAAAGGCTGCAAAGGGAAAATCAAGGATTCTGCATGCTCAACTTCAAGCAAGAAGAATGCAGTGGAATTCAGCAGCATTTAATTATAATCTTTCATATGACTATGCTTCTGAGGAACAAAGATCATAGAGACTTCAAGGTTCGAGGGTCAGATCTAAAAAAATTGAGACAGCAAGAATCTGAAGAGGAAAGATCCTTAAGACTTCAAGATCAAAGAATAAGAACCAAACAACAAGATGAATTTGTGGAACATAAGTTTGAAATGCAAAAATACAACAGGATTCTACATGCCCAACTTCAAGCAAGAAGAATGCAGTGGAATTCAGAGCAATTAATTATAATCTTTCATATGACTATGCTTCTGAGCCCTCAATTCAAATTGCTTCCATGGACAAACTTTGTTCTCATTGTGGTGTAGAAAATTGGATGAGGTAACATATTTGACTGTGTTGTTCCATTAGCGAAGTTTGATTAGAACATTATCCTGATTCATTAGATTTGTTGAAGAACCTCGTTCTGAACAGAGGCTATTGGAACTTTAGAAGAATATTTAGGAATAAAACAATGCATTCCGAATGACTTCCTTTGGCGCTAAGTTCATTCATGAGGGACTATTTTTGCTCACTTTCAAAGTGCAGGGACCAGTTTATCACAGAATTGAAGCACTACCTAAAGAAAAACTTTATCCATTACAGATACACTTTATCCTTTACAGATATTTAGGAATAAAGTGTCGCTGCCGACACTTGAGTTTGAACATCGATCGCCAGCGAGCAAACACAGTCGATTCTATTACTGAATTAATTAGACCACGTTACCATAGAGGAAAGACATATATGGGAGGTCGCGTGATATCTTGAGGATCGTTATTTCTACTCTATCCTCTATTAGTATACGGATCACCATTTCTATTCTATCCTCAATTACTATACGGACCGCTATTCTCTACTCTATTCACTATACTATTTCTCTATTCAGATCACTATACGCTGGTTACTTTTGAGCGAGTATTATCGAGCAAGTACTATGAGTGCGAGTGATATTCGAAGGCGTCTGACACTAGAATGGTTCAACGGCGTTACTATAGTTGTATCTGTGATTACAAAGTCTCTGCTACAATGAGCACTACGAAAGTGACAACGAGTATTCATTAACATCACAAAAGTTTCAAACGAGTGTTTGTTGACATCACAAAACTTTGTTAGTGATATGAGGTAGCCGGCTGAAAAAAGAGTTCAAGGAAACATGGATGTAGACATTGACTATATTTGGAATCTCCAAGAAATTCTACATGAAAAGAATAGTTATGTGAGAAGTTTCAAATATGCTCTAAAGGCAGATTCATGTTCAGTGTTGCCAGGTACGATAGATTTTGAAAAGAAACAACCTGAAGAATATTCTCAGGGATGTGATGTACCTGAGTGCAATGAATTTGCTATTAATAATGAAAGGTGAAGAGACAGGATGTCATCGTGACATTATACTTCATAGGAGAGACAATCAGATAAAAAAAAGTGTTATGGGGTCCTCCCCTTTTCATATAAGTGTACTCTACCAGTGTTACTTGGACGGCTGCCGTCAAATACCCAGAGTTAGACAGTCAGTGAGGGAGGATATACGGAGCGAGAGAGAGAGAATATACGAATGGAGATAGTGTGAGGTAACCTCTTGTAGAAGTCAGTTACAAGCACGTAGACTCTAAGGAAGCCCTACTTCGAGACTGTATATATCTATCTGTATTTGCTACTAACCGCGTTCCTGGACTTACTAACAGTATTATCCGTTGTATGATTGTGTAAATACATTTTATTTCTTATATTTAATTATTGCGTTTGTTATTCCTTGGAGACCGAATTCATCTCGGAATGCACAACAAAAAGATATGTTCATCGTTCATATGATGCCTTGTAATATCCATTGTTATTTGTGACTGAAAAGGATGGATATCATCTACGCATTTCCAAGGCTGAATCAGAAGCTGATGAAAAACAAGACTATCTCTGCAATGGATTTCTATGACTACTACTTCATGATTCATCCGAATGCATTCAATCATCTTTACAGAATTCAACAATTGTTCCACCATTACGTGGTTGACGTATGCAAAAATTGAATCAGAGAGATTAGGATACCTTAGCAGGAACCAAAAACAATTCAGATCTAAAGAGAATTGCTAACTTGAAAGATGCAATCAATAATGATGCCGTTGCAACAGAATTAAGCCAACTTTGTATCTTGACATCCAGTTTTATGCGAAGCCCACAGTACTTGCATGAAAGTACACACGATGTCTTATGACTTATGTTAGATAATATGACCACCGTAATTTATTCATAAGCTTCACCTGCAATCCAAAATGGAAAGAAATTCAAAATGATCTGCTTGAAGACATGATCTTACAGCCAGTGTGTTTAGACTGAAATAAATCAAAATGATGGACTTACTCACAAAAGTATTTGGTCCAATTAGATGCTATATGTACACTATAGGGTGGCAAAAACTTGGGCTACCTCATGCTCACATTTTAAAGTTCATTCTAATCAAATTGATAACATCATTTCTGCTGAACTACCAAATCCGACTGAAGACAGATCACTTTATTAAATGGTGAAAGTACACTTGATCCATGGTCCATGTGGTGTAATGAACGGACATTCTGCCTGTATGAAAGACAAGATGTATACCAAAAGATATCCCAGAGGTACCTTGCAAGACACACAGTCTGGTCAAGATGGATATCTATCTTACAGAAGAAGAAAACCTGAAGATGTTGGATTTCAAGCAATGGTTGGCAATCCTGTCTGAAGGTGATAATAGGTGGATTGTTTTTTAATGTCCTTTCTTTCTGAAAATATGCTCACATCAATGTTGAATTTTGCAATTCCGTGAAATCGATCAATTGTATATACAAATATGTAAACAAAGGATCAGATGCTGCCGTGTTTGATCTCCAATACCCAAATAATACAACTGCAATCAATAATTCCCAACAAGATCGATATATCAGTAGCAATGAAACTTTCTGGAGAATATACAGTTTCGTCGTTCATGAAAGGTATCGAACAGTCAAAAAATTAGAAGTACATCTAGAAAATGGACAAAGAGTTTATTTTCCACCTGAATTAACTGCAGCATAGGCAAAGAATCCAAAAGGAACAATTTTTGACGGCTTTCTTCAAATTACGTTCAAATGATCCATTTGCCAGAACATTATATTACCACCAGGTTCCACCCTGTTACCCGTGGAATAAATCAAGAATTGGACCTGAAGAAGATTTTCAGTTGAAAGCAATTCAGATATCAGATTTTATATCACATTTGGTCGTGTATATATAGTGCATCCAAATCAACGGGAATTTAATTAAGAATGATGTTGCATGAAGTTTAAGGTTCATAGTCTTTGGAGGACCTTCGGGGAATTTTTGGAATTGTTTACACAACTTACAGAGAAGCCTAAAAGCATAAAAGAGGACTTCTTAGTCAATGGGATGTAGCACTCTCAGAGGCGTCAGTGTCCCATATTGCAAAACAGTATTAGATCTCATTTTGCTGTCCTTATTAAAACCTACGGTGTCAGCAAGCCTTAAGGCCTGTCGAATAAATTTAAGGAAGATCTGAGGACTTTCTCTATCAGGACCAGCAGAGATATCATGATATGGTTGTTAATTACTATCAAAAAATTCATATTGATTGATATTGAAAATCAAATCGTGGACATGGGATGTGATGAGTTACCAAAATATGGACGTCCACAGACTGTCAGAGGTGTAGGTAACCGATTAATATTTGAGAGAAACCTTTTGTGGAGTAAATACTACACCGCGTGGACTCTATGAACTAGTTCATAACTATAAATAAAGAGCTCCAAGTCATAGGTAAGAAGAAGAAGCCGTTTGGAGTCAATCTTCAGACGAAGTAATAGAGGCGCCACGGTAAGTTGCCAAAGTATTACTCATATTAAAATCCAAGAGAAACATGTTCAAAATCTTGCTGGAATCCTCAATGATGACCAAAAAGTGGCATGTTACATCATCACTGAAAAAGTCAAGTACCAGAAAAAAAAAAAGGTATTTTAAACTAGATGCCACAGGAAGACATTTGTAATAACTTTGATACTGGCTAATCTCAGAAAAGAATGCAGAATTGACCTTGCTGCAGAATCATCTGAAATTGCTTCCACATTACTACCATGGGGGAGGGTAAGAACTGCTCATACTGCATTCAAACTTCCACTTGACCTTTATAATGAATGAAAACACAATCTGCAACATTAGCAAAGCTACTGGGATGGCAGAAGTTATAAGACAATGTGACTTCATTGGGTTTTATGAATGCTCTATGATGCATAAGAGAGTTCTGGATGCTATTTATGGAATGTTAAGAGATACTGTGCTGTGTAAAAATTGTGATCCAGTCAAATCTTTTTTGGAAAAAAAAACTTGTTTTTTCTTAATTTTTAAGATAAAAAATAAAGTTTTAAAATATTGTTTATAAGTAAGGAAAATCGTACAGTGTCAGCAACTTTATAAAATTCTTAATTTTAAAAAAAAAATACTTAAGAAACAAACCTAAAGCATTAAAAGATGTCATGTTTGTTTTAAAAAATTCTGTACTTGCAAAATATCAGGATCTTTTTGCAAGTGCTGAAAAAAACTCATCTTCGAAAATAATTCAGATGGCCACAAGATAAGGTGCGCGTAAAAAACGTCAAAGATGAGATCCCAGTGATTTTATGAGCACTGTACAAGATGGGAGGAAGATTTTCACCAAATGTGAAAATAACCCTGATGAGTCACTTTTTTGCACGGTAACAAACTTGTTAAATACTTTAAAAAGTCATTTTTTTTTGGGGGGGGGTCCAAAATATAATAGTCCCGAATTATGTTTTACGTTTTTAGAAATTATGTATATTTTAATTGAAAAATGAATATTTTTTTTATTTTTATTTAAAGTTAAAAATAATTCAAAAAATTATTGCTGAGTCACTTTTTTGCAGAACACAGTATAAGAAACAGTTTGCGAATGGAGGTGTCATTTTAGTTTTATCAGGAGATTTCAGGCAAATTCTTCCAGTTATAGCAAAAGGAACAAAAGCTGATAAGAATCTCGCATGCTTGAAATCTTCCAAACTTTGGTAATATGTCAAAATCATAAAACTGAAAAGAAATATGAGAGCTGCTCTGCCTAATGTTCGAACGTCTGAAGAATTTCAAAAAAGATCATTATTCCTGAGAGAAGGAGAAGCTCCTGTGGACAATGACAACTGCTTAAACTTGTCACCAATAACATCCTGATGCTGTCTGGCAAAGAATTAAACACCAAAGTATTCCCAAATATCAAGGAACATTATCAGAATTACAAGTGGTTAAGTGAGAGAGCAATTTTGGCTCCAAAAATATTACTGTGAATTCCATTAACTTTGGACTTTTGAAAATCCTCCCCCAGAGAGTGTAAATCTTATAAGAAAATTAGATTGTAGATTCTTCATAGTTACTGAATTAGCTTTTGAACTCATTAGATTTATCTGGTCTACCACTTCACAAATTAGATCTCAAAGTTGGTGCTCCGATAATATTATTAAATATAGATCCACCAATTCTCTGTAATAGAACCAGACTTGTAGTTAAGAACATGATGCCACACCTTATTGAAAGAACCATTCTGTCATGATGTGGTAAATGAGAAAATGTTTTCATTCCAAGAATACCTTTGATCCTAAATGATGTAAAGAGATTGCCGTTTCCAGTGAAACTAGCCTTTGCGATGTCTATAAATAAATCCCAAGTACAGACCCTCTCAGAGACTGGTATGTATGCACATTGAAGAAACATGCTTTTCCAATGGACAACTTTATGTTACATATTTAAGAGTTGGAAGCAAAAGTAATCTGGTTTCACTCCACAATCTTTCATGATGATATTTCACGGAGTATTCTCAATGTTGTAAACCAATTCTTCTTCTGTTCTCATATTAGAAACATTTTAGTAAATTGAATTTGAATTGCTGTATTTAAATACTATAATAGATTAGAATAATTTTAAAAGATAAATATAAAATTGTATTTGAATTTTTAGATTTTGATGTTTTGTTTTTGTTTGGTTCGATTTTTGTGTTTACATATTAGAATTCGAATAATTATCTTTGAACTGTTATGCTTTCATGGGTGCTATGTTTTTGTGTTAATAAAGAAGTTTCTAAAATGGTTACATTTTTATGCAATAGGTAATATCATCCCCTGGTAATGCCGTGTAGTTCTGCTAGTTCCTCTTAATAATAATAAATTTTTTTTTTACGAAAAAACTTTGTTCTTATTAATTTGGGGGCATTTTTTCTCTTGCATGCTTATTTTTTAGCGAAACACACACACACATATACATAGGGTGCGATTGATAAATTGTCGCCTAAATTACGCAGAAATGAAAATAACATTGACATCTTATTTTAAAAGGTATAGGTAACAAAATTACGCAAAAATATTTCATCGCGGCCAACGCCGGGCACTTCTGCTAGTACATATATATATATATATATATATATATATATATATATATATATATATATATATATATATATGTGTGTGTGTGTGTGTTTCTCATTAGTATAAACGGTATATGTAGTGGATGCACATATTTGAGTAGACACCCTCTTTTTAAATGGAATAACTGACGTCTCTCTGCCTTGGTTTTCCGAGAGACTTTAACAAAGAAATTGTACCATCCAGTGGGTTTTGAATGTGAATCTCATTTTAAAGAATAAACTAGCGTTTAGCCCGACGTGCTTCTAGACTGCTAAGCCACGAAGAACTTCACTTAAAGGAAGGCTAAAATGACGGAGGACGAATATTTTCTGTAAAACTTTCTCGGACATTCCGGCCGGTAAATGTTGTTTAATACTGTTTATTATAAACAGAGCATTTACTTAAATATTTGTATCTATTAAAAGAATGTTAAACATAAAAGTGTCTTAAAATAATTGTCGAACTTTGTCCATTTCATAATATATATATATATATATATATATATATATATATATTGAACAATAAGAAAATAAAAAATTAAAAAATTAAAATCATTAGACACACTGGGTTGTAGATTAATATTCTTTCGTTTTTTTATTATTATTATTCCATTTAGATTCCTCGACTAGTTTCGACCGAAATGGCCATCATCGGGAGGAGAAATATTTCTGCTTGCTGTTAATAGTGAACTACAGAAATGAATGTTTGTTGGCGAAAATGAACTTTTGTCTGTAGTTTTCATTTGTTTTTTTATTTTTTTATCTTTTTCACATGAATCTTTTAACATTCCTTGTGTTGGTCAAACAGTCTCTTTTAAGTTGTTATTTGAGATAAGAACTGGATAGATACATTTTATCCTGAATTCTCTGGTCAGTTTGACACTTTTATTGGACCTGGTGAAGGGATGTGTCTCTGTTTAGTGTTTGTGTGTGTGTTATTTGGTTCTTAGGGAGTGAGTGAGTATGATATGTGTAAGCGTGTGTATTGCTGTAGGTGTGTGTTATCATTTGGCTCATTATATTATATATATATATATAAGTAATTCATCGAGTCTGATAGAAACCTCAACAGAATGCAGAAAGCACTGGACTGACGTTTCGTCCTATATTTGGGCCTCATCAGCAGTGCGCATCCACTACCGAGAATTGAAATGTTTGTAAGTTTGTATGTATACAGGACGCGATGGGTAAATTGTTGCCATTTTATATTGTTAATTTCGTGTACGAGTATTGTTTTTTTTTTTTTTATTTTGTCAACTGCCCAGTATAGTAGGGTCAGTTGG